TCAGTGTGTATTGTGTCTGTTATAGTAAGAGTCAGTGTGTATGGTGTCTGTTATAGTAACAGTCAGTGTGTATGGTGTCTGTTATAGTAACAGTCAGTGTGTATGGTGTCTGTTATAGTAACAGTCAGTGTGTATGGTGTCTGTTATAGTAACAGTCAGTGTGTATAGTGTCTGTTATAGTAACAGTCAGTGTGTATAGTGTCTGTTATAGTAACAGTCAGTGTGTATGGTGTCTGTTATAGTAACAGTCAGTGTGTATAGTGTCTGTTATAGTAACAGTCAGTGTGTATGGTGTCTGTTATAGTAACAGTCAGTGTGTATAGTGTCTGTTATAGTAACAGTCAGTGTGTATAGTGTCTGTTATAGTAACAGTCAGTGTGTATGGTGTCTGTTATAGTAAGAGTCAGTGTGTATGGTGTCTGTTATAGTAAGAGTCAGTGTGTATGGTGTCTGTTATAGTAAGAGTCAGTGTGTATGGTGTCTGTTTTAGTAAGAGTCAGTGTGTATGGTGTCTGTTATAGTAAGAGTCAGTGTGTATAGTGTCTGTTATAGTAACAGTCAGTGTGTATGGTGTCTGTTATAGTAAGAGTCAGTGTGTATAGTGTCTGTTATAGAGTCAGTGTGTATGGTGTCTGTTATAGTAACAGTCAGTGTGTATCGTGTCTGTTTTAGTAGGTCAGTGTGTACCGTGTGTGTTTTTTTAAGAGTCAGTGTGTATGGTGTCTGTTATAGTAAGAGTCAGTGTGTATAGTGTCTGTTATAGTAACAGTCAGTGTGTATGGTGTCTGTTATAGTAAGAGTCAGTGTGTATAGTGTCTGTTATAGTAAGAGTCAGTGTGTATAGTGTCTGTTATAGTAAGAGTCAGTGTGTATAGTGTCTGTTATAGTAACAGTCAGTGTGTATAGTGTCTGTTATAGTAAGAGTCAGTGTGTATGGTGTCTGTTATATTAACAGTCAGTGTGTATGGTGTCTGTTATAGTAACAGTCAGTGTGTATGGTGTCTGTTATAGTAACAGTCAGTGTGTATGGTGTCTGTTATAGTAACAGTCAGTGTGTATTGTGTCTGTTATAGTAACAGTCAGTGTGTATGGTGTCTGTTATAGTAACAGTCAGTGTGTATAGTGTCTGTTTTAGTAAGAGTCAGTGTGTATGGTGTCTGTTATAGTAACAGTCAGTGTGTATAGTGTCTGTTATAGTAAGAGTCAGTGTGTATGGTGTCTGTTATAGTAACAGTCAGTGTGTATGGTGTCTGTTATAGTAACAGTCAGTGTGTATGGTGTCTGTTATAGTAAGAGTCAGTGTGTATGGTGTCTGTTATAGTAAGAGTCAGTGTGTATGGTGTCTGTTTTAGTAACAGTCAGTGTGTATAGTGTCGGTTATAGCAACAGTCAGTGTGTATGGTGTCTGTTATAGTAACAGTCAGTGTGTATAGTGTCTGTTATACTTGTAGTATTTCTTAAATGTTTACATATATAGATGGTACATGTAGCTAGGCCGGAATGTTTAAATCTGTGATACAGTATACTTTGATTTAACTCTATTGATACTATATAAAATGTTACAGTAGACTTAAGCAGTGGTATATATAGATGGTACATGTAGCTAGGCCGGAATGTTTAAATCTGTGATACAGTATACTTTGATTTAATTCTATTGATACTATATAAAATGTTACAGTAGACTTAAGCAGTGGTATATATAGATGGTACATGTAGCTAGGCCGGAATGTTTAAATCTGTGATACAGTATACTTTGATTTAACTCTATTGATACTATATAAAATGTTACAGTAGACTTAAGCAGTGGTATATATAGATGGTACATGTAGCTAGGCCGGAATGTTTAAATCTGTGATACAGTATACTTTGATTTAATTCTATTGATACTATATAAAATGTTACAGTAGACTTAAGCAGTGGTATATATAGATGGTACATGTAGCTAGGCCGGAATGTTTAAATCTGTGATACAGTATACTTTGATTTAATTCTATTGATACTATATAAAATGTTACAGTAGACTTAAGCAGTGGTATTTGTAAATATTCTCAGATCTACATAAAGTATTACTGCTGGTAACAACACTAGTAGACAACTTCTTCAATTTAAACGAAATAAAATGTATATCAAATATATTTATCAATTATCAATAATGATTGATGAAGTAACAACGACAATACGGACAAGTAAGTTGTCAAATTTTCGAGGCAATCTGCCAGTTTCTAAAGACACAAATATTACATAAATTACATCACATACATAAAACATCAAACAAATACAAAGTTATAAATTTCAATCGAGAGTGGTTGTGTAAAGTTAGGTGTCGCGATAATCCCTTCTGCCGATGGACGCTGAAGGCCCTATGAAAGGTGTAGTTACAATAAAAAGAATTTTGCTAAAACTCACAGGTTAAATACACAAAAGATCTATATGAAATTAAATAATAAACCAACATTATTTTTAATATGATCAAATAGGCCTCAGAAAACTTGCCAGCTCTGGAAACACAGGCTTGTCCATTCTGTAATGCCGTGCGATACAAACAGGTCGCATTCACAGAGCTGGCGGTCATAAAGCTTGCGGTCACAAAGCTGGCAGTCACACCGGTAGTCAAAGAGATGGCGGTCACAGGGCAAGCGGTCACAGAGCTGGCAGTCACAGAGCTGGCAGTCACAAAGCTGGCAGTCACACCGGCGGTCACAGAGGAGGCGGTCACAGAGTTGGCAGTCACAGAGCTGGCAGTCAAAGAGATGGCGGTCACAGAGCTGGCGGTCACAGAGCTGGCAGTCACACTGGCGTTAAAGAGCTGGCAGTCACAAAGCTGGCAGTCACACTGGCGGTCAAAGAGATGGCTGTCACAGAGCTGGCAGTCACACTGGCAGTCAAAGAGATGGCGGTCACAGAGCTGGCAGTCACACTGGCAGTCAAAGAGATGGCGGTCACAGAGCTGACGGTCACACTGGCAGTCAAAGAGGTGGCGGTCACAGAGTTGGCAGTCACACTGGCGGTTACAGAGCTGGCAGTCACAGAGCTGGCGGTCACAGAGCTGGCGGTCACAGAGCTGGCAGTCACAGAGCTGGCGGTCACACTGGCGGTCACAGAGCTGGCGGTCACACTGGAAGTCAAAGTAATGGCGGTCACAGAGCTGGCAATCACACTGGCGGTCAAAGAGATGGCGGTCAAAGAGGTGGCGGTCACAGAGCTGGCAGTCACAGAGCTGGCGGTCACAGAGCTGACGGTCACACTGGCGGTCACAGAGCTGGCGGTCACACTGGAAGTCAAAGTAATGGCGGTCACAGAGCTGGCAATCACACTGGAGGTTACAGAGCTGGCGGTCACAGAGCTGACGGTCACACTGGAAGTCAAAGTAATGGCGGTCACAGAGCTGGCAATCACACTGGCGGTCAAAGAGATGGCGGTCACAGAGCTGGCGGTCACAGAGCTGACGGTCATACTGGCAGTCAAAGTAATGGCGGTCACAGAGCTGACGGTCACACTGGCAGTCAAAGAGATGGCGGTCACAGAGCTGGCGGTCACACTGGCGGTTACAGAGCTGGCAGTCACAGAGCTGGCGGTCACAGAGCTAGCAGTCACACTGGAAGTCAAAGTAATGGCGGTCACAGAGCTGGCAATCACACTGGCGGTCAAAGAGATGGCGGTCACAGAGCTGGCGGTCACACTGGCAGTCAAAGTAATGGCGGTCACAGAGCTGGCAGTCACACTGGCGGTTACAGAGCTGGCAGTCACAGAGCTGGCGGTCACAGAGCTGACGGTCACACTGGCGGTCACAGAGCTGGCGGTCACACTTGCGGTCACAGAGCTGGCGGATTTTCGTCATTTTTTTCGGAAGTAAATTTATTTTTCTACACCAAATGCATGACATGTCATTCCTCGCATATTTGTGATTGATGGTGACGTGTGTTTAACTAGATTTAATGGAGAAACGCGCCAAAAGTAAAAACTCTAACATAGGGGTGACCCCACCTTGCCAAACAGCGTGCAACATGATATCATATATATAAATAGTTGACACGGAACCGAGACATAAAGACACAGATATGTTATATAGTCCGTACATTTCTTATACCTGTTTGTCAACCAGAAAACTACAGTCATTAGTAGGGAGTACCCATCTATGAGATATTTAAGGACATATCTCAATTACATTATCATAATCTTTTCCATCAAACACTTAATCAATATACTTTCATACCAGAGGATGGCAGTCAAAGTACAGCTATAACATTGCTTCGTTTTAAACTTATTGTAATAGTGCGTCCTTACTTTAAGAAGAATATAAATGTTCAGTCAGAAATATTCCATGTAAAATCTATACCGCTCCGTTAATATCTACTCAAAACTTTGTGACAATATGATATTCACGTGGGCGAGTACTACTATTCCTTTAGTATCTAGAATACAGACAGAAGTTTAATTAAGAAATCTAAAACCATGAACAGCAGTTATTGAACGGGACAGACAAAAACATTTCCCGCCAATTAAGATAACTGACTAAATCTGTTCCTTGTAAATCCAAAAATGCCATTTTCCAATTGGGGTATCTACGAGTTGCTAAATTTCTAATGAGGACTAAACATAACAATGCCGGTTAATGCGAGTGAGAAACACTTATCACCTCTGTAATACATTGATCAATGTATATATATGTATATGTAAATATCTTAACGTAAACATGCATACCGTGTAGGACAATAGGAACGATCACATATACTTAACATTTCAGCATCATGATACATATGTAATATATGTAGACCTCTATTTGAGAACCCGTATTCGTTTATGTCCTGCGTAACAAGACAAACTTTCTGAGACCAAGTACATCTGTCTATAGATAACAGCTACAGGAAGGTCACCACAACACATTCTGATCTCCCAGAGTTACTGCCCTTTGTTCCACGCAGTCAGATGGTATAGCGATAACCTTGACAGTCGGCAGGGCCCGAGAATGCCACAATAGGGTCAGCCTAAACTAGTCTAATATGAAAATTTACTTATTCTGTCTCTTCTTCGGTTTCCTAAAGGCCTCCGATCCAAGGCTGGGTACGTTTATCTGTCCAGAGGCCGGATAGATTTATCTCATCTTCGACTGAGTGATACTAGCTTTATCTTATGCAAGGCAGAGTAGTTTTGTATCTGAGGCTGGGTAAGTTCATCTGGTCAGAGGCTGGGAAAGTTTATCTGATCTGAGGCTGGGTAAGTTTATCTGGTCTGAGGCTGGGTAAGTTTATCAGATCTGAGGCTGGGTAAGTTTATCTGGTCAGAAGCTGGGTAAGTTTATCAGATCTGAGGCTGGGTAAGTTTATCAGATGTGAGGCTGGGTAAGTTTATCAGATTTGAGGCTGGGTAAGTTTAACAGATCTGAGGCTGGGTAAGTTTATCTGGTCAGAGGCTGGGTAAGTTTATCAGATCTGAGGCTGGTTAAATTTATCTGGTCAGAGGCTGGGTAGATTATCAGATCTGAGGCTGGGTAAGTTTATCAGATCTGAGGCTGGGTAAATTTATCTGATCTGAGGCTGGGTAAGTTTATCGGATCTGAGGCTGGGTAGATTATCTGGTCAGAAGCTGGGTAGTTTATCGGATCTGAGGCTGGGTAAGTTTATCGGATCTGAGGCTGGGTAAGATTATCTGGTCAGAGGCTGGGTAGTTTATCTGATCTGAGGCTGGGTGAATTTATCGGACTTGTGGCTGGGTAAGTTTATCTGATCTGAGGCTGGGTAAGTTTAACGGATCTGAGGCTGGGTAAATTTATCGGACTTGTGGCTGGGTAAGTTTATCTGATCTGAGGCTGAGTAAGTTTATCGGATCTGAGACTAGGTAGATTATCTGGTCAAATGCTGGGTAGTTTATCTGATCTGATGCTGGGTAGTTTTTATGATCGAGGCTAGGTAGGTTTATCTGATCAATGACTGGGTTTATGTTAATCAAGATAGTGTGTAGGCTTACCTAATACGAGGCTGAGAGGTTTATTTGTTCCGGGGTCGGTTTGGTTTATCTGGTATGTATTTTGGTACATTTCTTATATGGATTTCTGACAAATATTGCCCATGAGAAATCAACAACACTAAGCACCTTCGGTAGTATTATGTAAACTAAGAATACTTGTATTAATTTTTTTTTCTTCACAAAACAACGCACACTGTACAGTGTTATCATGTTATTGATTTATTTATCTATCTTACTTCTGTTATCTTAGAAACGTATGATGTTGGCGGAAACACGATATCTATTTCTGGAATTTCTTCTGGAGCAGCTATGGCAACACAGATGCACGTGATCAATTCGGAAAGGATAATGGGAGCAGGAATTATAGCGGGAGGTAACGTGTTAGAGTTACGTCCCCTTTACCACACTACACAGATCAGGTAACAACACGGGAAGACTAACAATAAAATAACCTTATTATCAATGGCACATGATTAAATATTGCCATTCAATAAAAACCTAGAATAAGATAAAGTGAAGCCATTGAATTACTTAACAACATTGTAAAACTGTCCCCCTGTCAGTAATGTTAGGGGCAAAGTGTTGAAGGGGTTAACTGTAGAAAATAAAAACTGACCGGTTTACAAATGTTTAAATATAAATACGGACGTGCATTTCATATATTGTAATTCCAACCCATGGCTTGTATTATTGTTTACATACCAAGATAACATTTACATACCCAGAGAACGTCTGTATACCCAGAGAACGTTTATATACTCAGAGACCGTTTATTTACCCAGAGAATGTTTGTATAACCGGAGAACGTTTATATATCCAGAGAACGTTTATATACCCAGAGAACGTTTATATACCCAGAGAACGCTTGAATACCCAGAGAACGCTTTTAAAACCAGAGAACGTTTATATACCTAGAGTACGTTTATATACCCAGAGAACGTGGATATACTTAGAGAACGTTAATTTACCTAGGAACGCTTATATACTCAGAGAACGTTTGTATACTCAGAGAACGTTTATAATTCCAGAGAACGTTTGTATACCCAGAGAACGTTTATATACCTAGAGTACGTTTATATACCCAGAGAACGTGTATATATCTAGAGAACGTTAATTTACCTAGGAACGCTTATATACTCAGAGAACGTTTGTATACCCAGAGTATGTTTATATACCCAAAGAATGTTTGTATACACAGAGAACGTTTTTATGACTAGGAACACTTATATACTCAGAGAACGTTTGTATACTCAGAGAACGTTTATAATTCCAGAGAACGTTTGTATACCCAGAGAACGTTTGTATACCCAGAGTATGTTTATATACCCAAAGAATGTTTGTATACACAGAGAACGTTTTTATGACTAGGAACACTTATATACTCAGAGAACGTTTGTATACTCAGAGAACGTTTATAATTCCAGAGAACGTTTGTATACCCAGAGAACGTTTATATACCTAGAGTACGTTTATATACCCAGAGAACGTTTGTATACCTAGAGAACGTTTATATACCTAGAGTACGTTTATATACCCAGAGAACGTGTATATATCTAGAGAACGTTAATTTACCTAGGAACGCTTATATACTCAGAGAACGTTTGTATACCCAGAGTATGTTTATATACCCAAAGAATGTTTGTATACACAGAGAACGTTTTTATGACTAGGAACACTTATATACTCAGAGAACGTGTATATACCTGGAGAATGTTTATATATACTCAGAGAACGTTTATATACCCAGAGAACGTTTATATTACCAGAGAACGTTTATATACCTAGGAACGTTTATATACTCAGAGAACGTTTATATACCCAGAGAACGTTATAAACCCGGAGAACGTTTGTATACTCAGAGAACATTTTTATACCAAGAGAACGTTTATATACCTAGGAACGTTTATATACTCAGAGAACGTTTATGTACCCAGAGAACGTTTATATACTGAGAGTACGTTTATATACCCAGAGAACGTTTATATTACCAGAGAACGTTTATATACCTAGGAACGTTTATATACTCAGAGAACGTTTATATACTCAGAGAACGTTTATGTACCCAGAGAACGTTTATATACTGAGAGTACGTTTTTATACCCAGAGAACGTTTATATACCCGGAGAACGTTTATCTATTTTCAGTTCCATTCGCCTGCTCCGGAGGCACCATAGCTGGGGCCTCCGCCTGTATGCTGACGCCGTCCATGGAATCGGTTACATCTTTGGAACTTTTAGTGTCTTCGGGATCTTTTCTTGGTAATGTGGACTCGACATCAAATCTACGACTCGACAAAGTGTACATATTTAGTGGCACCTCGGACTCCGTGGTCAAGCATGGTCAGTGACTTACGTATCTGCCCATCCCTGGTCTTTGATACACCTATCTATTGGTTTGTACAGCGCTAAAGAAGTGTTATACGTGTGTTTTCATGTGATTTTCAAACATTTATAAATCTCCTATGAAGCCGAGAAATATTGCACGACTTCATCATATTTCCCATATTTGTGAAAATGAATTTAAAGATTTGTATTGTCTTGTTTTGATCACAGGAAATGGTCCAAATGTTGCTCATTTTTACCAGCACTATATCTCCGACAATACCAACATAAAGACTGTATTCGACATGGCTGCAGAACACTGCATGGTACGTTTCTGTATAGAGACCATTTATCAGATGTAGATAACAACATTTACCCTGAAGTTAACGGTCGACGAATCTCTTGTATTATACATACTTACGCTAATTCTAGCCCTGGTACTTAATGAGAATCATTATCATTTATGCATGTTTTATGCTAGCCTTGCAGAATTTTTATACTTCATGCGTTTTTAGGGATAGGAGAAAACAAGCAAAACGTAAAAGTCGTTTAATAACTAAAAGTCTATATAACATGAACACATAAAGTTATGTTTAATTTAAAATGTTGTGTTTCGGACGTTATTGAAAACCAATAGGAGGGGAAACACAGAAGTATGAAATATTTATAAAACAATATAGAAATAGCTCCAGCTTCTGATAATGTGAATATGTACTTGCTTTTTTTTATTTGTTTTGTTTGACTTTTTATATACCTTACCACAGCCAACTGATAACTATGGGGGCAGATGTGATATCCTTTCAGAGTCCAATGGTTACCTTAACAACTGCGGTTACAGCGCCGCCTATGATCTACTTAATCACATCTATGGCGGCAATTTGAAGGTGAGTATTTTATTTTTAAATTAATAATGCCACGACTTATCTTCTATACTTCCGGAACACCTAGTCTTATTATCTTTTGAATTTTTAGGAGTCTTCATGTAAATCTTTCTTTTGTTCATATTTTGCCCAAGTTTTATTGAATTTGAGTTTGGATATTTTTTTTTATTTACATTTTTTCAATTTTAAACATTGAAGTATACAAATATCAACAAAAACACTAATATCCATTCATCCATCATCCAGCCGTCCATCATCATCATCATCATCATCATCATCATCATCATCATCATCATCATCATCATCCACATTCATATCCGATAATGTAAATACTTATCCTCATCAACATTCACATTAAAACATGCACCTCAACATCATAAAAATACATGTCCATCATCATCCACATGTCTTCATGTTACATATTCTTAATTATTATACGTTATAACTACATGCCATTCACAACCTCATCTCACATACTCGCACACCCACACCTGCTCACACATACTCATCACACAGAGACAGATACATAAAATAGATAAAGAGAGGGAGAGAGAGAAGATGGAAAGAAAGAGGGGAATGGGAGAGAGAGAGGAGGGGCAAGAAAGACAAGAGTCGATCTGGGTTAGAGATTAGATAAAATTTTTTTTTTAAAGTCCGCATTACTTCAGGGTCAAAACGAGTAAATATTATTAACATGGAATAGCACATGTATTCTAATTATAAGAAAATTCCAACATTTTTTCCATATTTTCCATTCATTGTCAAAACTCAAGTTAGCCTCATCTCCTTTGCTATTAGCTTTAAACTTCTGACAAATAGAAAATTCCTTAATTGAGTTAATGAGGGCATTTGGACTTAGCATTTTATGTTGACATCTTGTCTTATATATATAAAATTTGATAATGATTAAAATTTCATTATCAAGACTATTACTATTATTACTAAAAATCCCAAAAATAAAACTTCTTTTGTTGAACGAAAATGGAATAAGAAGGGCTTCCAGCAAAATTTCAAAACTTTCTAAAACTTTTAACACTTCTGGACATTCCCACATAATATGAATGTTTGTTTCCCTTTCTAAATTACAAAATGAACAGTGTGGGTTGTTCAATAATCCTAATTTGAACATAAATGAATTTGTTGTTAAAATGTAATTATTTATTCTGTACTGAAACCATTGCAGTTTTGTGTTTTTAGTTGTTCTAAAACAATTATTGTAAATATCCCCCCAAGTTCAAATCATTTAATTCTAATTTTTCCTCCCATCTTTTTCTACCAGTGGGAATCACACATTTTTTTACTAAAAAAATTATATATGTGTTTTGTCCCTTTTTCCCTTTTTATAAAATATTCAATATTACTAGGAATGATTGGAAAGGATTGTGAGCTATATTCATATTCAGACCTGGCTAAAAATGACTCAATAGCCGACACTACACCACGATATTGAAGGAAGTTTGTATAAATTTGATTAAAATCATCTAATGTATAAAAAATGCCAATAGAAAATCTGAAACCGATCATTTATTATAACTACCCCTTTATTAAACCATGTCTTGTAGAATATACTCTTTTTCCTAATCACTAAGTCTCTATTAAACCATATAGGAGTTTTCCAGATATTTTTTTTCTTGTTTTTCACACCCACTCTTTTATTGAAACTTTCCCAAGCTTTAAAAACATCCCTCCAGAATTTGTTTTTACATTTATTGTGGTATTCCTGAATATATTCACTTCCACAAGTAGAGAGCATATGAATGTCTGTGTATGTTCCAAGAATTACTTGTCACTGTTCATCTTTCCTATATAACCTCCTTATCCAGCTTAGTTTAAGGGAATCCATAATAGACCTGATATCAACTATTTTAAGCCCACCATCACAATAATTCTGAGTCACAACATCTTTTTTAATTTTATTGGTTTTACTATTCCATAGAAAGTTGAAAAGTGTTGAGTTTAATTTATCCAAGAAACTATCATCAGGATTTGGCAAAGACACAAATAAGTGGTTAAACTGTGATATCATTAATGATTTGATAAGATGAATTCTGCCGATGGGAGTAAGTGATCTCTTACTCCATGACTTAAAGATAGATTTCAATTTAATTTATCATAATTAAATTTAGAAATTTCATGTAGATCAACGCTAAATTCTATTCCTAGAAATGTAAATTTGACAACTCCCCACTTCAGTTTCAACTCTGGTAATAGAGTCTCCCCACTATATTTTTTACTTCCTATCCAGATCACCTGTGTTTTGTCAATGTTTAACTTGAAGCCAGAAATTGTTTTGAAAGTATTTAATTCTGCAATAGACCCTTTCATTGATATTTCAGATCCATCTAACATAAGAGAGGTATCATCAGCATATTGGGAAATGAGAATAGGAATATAACTTACATTTACACCCTTAATTTTATTATCATTTTTTAGTCTAATTGTCAGAATCTCAACACAAAGAATGAAAATATATGGGGCGATTTGATCGCCTTGCCGACAACCTCTTCTTATATTAAGGAATGAAGACAAATTACCTCCCTGGTTCACAGTAGCACTAACATTAGTGTGAAGAATTCTTATCCAGTTTCTTATATCAAAACCAAAATTGAAATTTTCAAACAATTTATCAACAAATTTCCATGAGACATAATCAAATGCTTTCTCAAAGTCTAACATTAGAAGCATTCCTGGAATATTATTTTCCTCTACATATTGCATGACATCATGGACTAATCTCGTATTCTCACCAATATAACGGCCCGATATAAAACCTGATTGATCCTCGCTAATTAATATATCTAGAACTCTTCTAATTCTCCCTGCTATAGATCCCGAAGTAATTTTATATACGATATTCAATAATGTTATTGGTCGCCAGTTTTTGAGGAACTGCCTCGGCTTATCTCCCTTGGGGATACAAATTATAACACCTTGTCGTTGAGTTACTGACAACATACCTTTTTTAAAACCATAATTGATGGACCTTACGATGAACCACCCTAACTGTTTCCAAAAACATTTAAGAATTCCACAGTAAAACCATCTGTATCCGGGCTTTTATTATTTTTCATATTTTTCAAAGTAGTTGCTGTCTCTTTCCTAGTAATTTCCCCTCTAAACTATCAGAAACTATATTGTCTAGCTTTGGAACATTAAAAGTGTCTAAAAATTCATTCAAGTTCACATCATCCATATATAAATTTTCATAAAATGACCTCACCTCTTCAAGAATTTCCTTCTGCTGTGTCAATGTACCTTTATTTTCTGTCTCTAACTTTGGAATAATTTTAGATGTGTAGTTCCTATTTTCTAAACTAAAAAAAACATCTTGTTGGTTTTTCCCCTTCTTCCTGCCATCTTGCACGAGATCTTACTATGCTACCTTTAATCTTCTCTAACCTAATAGTTTCTAATTCCTTTTTTTGTTTGTCTAATTCCTCAATGTCCACTTGCCCCTGTTGTTCCATACCCAGAATTACTTTCCTTAGGTTGTTTTCTGTATTGTTTTGTTGCTTCTTTCTATATGAAGAATAAGATATGGTTTTACCCCCAGTTTCCAGAAAAACTGATCATCAATAACAAAATCTATTTCTGTATCTAGAATACTAGATATACGTTGTCTATTATATACTGGAAGACAGTATTGTAATTTTGTTTCTAAATAGTATCTTTTACCAAATGTAGATAATTTTCTTCAACTAATAAAGATGAATTAAATTCCCAGAACCCCCTTCCCCTCTTGAATTCATTGAATTTTAAGCAGAGCACTGGAAAAGAATGATCTGATCTATATCCCGACTCAATAGATGACTTGCTTACACTAGATAAAAGGTTGTCCGAAATCAGAAAAACATCCAATCAAGCCTGTTTTAATGGGGTTTTCTTCCTCCAGGTATACCTTCTACTGTATGGGTGTAGTTTCCGAAATATATCTACTAGTGAATATCTATCAATGATTTCCAAAACGTTATCTCTGGCTTTCTGGTTATTTACATTTTTGTCACTGCTATCATAGTCTAAATCTGGATCTACTACTAAGTTGAAGTCTCCACAGATGATGTATTTATCATTCCCAAAATAATCCACTGCATCAGTTAAAAATTAAAAAAAAAAACTAGGAGAATCAGTGTTTGGACCATACAGTGTGACCAAAGTAATATTGTGACTTTCTACTATAATATCTAGAGCCAAGAAATTTCCTGAATCATCTTTCTTTTCTCTTTTCACTTTTATTTCAAAATGGTTATTAATTAAAATGGCTACCCCCTGGCGTTGGATTTAAAAGAGCTATAAAAACAATCAAACCCCCACTGATTTCTTATATAATTATGGTTTTCTTTCATAAAATGCGTATCTTGTAAACAATAAATACTATACTTTTTCGATTTCAAATAAGAAAAAACGTCCTTACTTTTCACATTATTCCCAAGACCCTGACAGTTAACGGTAAGAATAGATACGCCCTCCATTACGAGATCTTAGAGCTACCTGTTATTCTCCTTGAGTTTGGATTATGATTATGTTGACATGTTGGTATTTTCTGATCGCGGTATATAACTACATGTATCAATTATGGTAAATATAGTATAAATTTCAACACTGAGAGACCACACAGAACATACAATGTTGTAACACATTTAGTACAGCAGAAAAATGCGGCCGATACACGTTAGTCACTTTTAAAGATATTTACTGCAGTGTACTATAACATTAGATTGTTGTTTTCACACCTCCGCAATTAATTATATGACTATTTGTGTATATCAATATCTTCCGTCAACAACATATTACAAGCGATTTTCTCTGTTAATTAAAAAATATTGTTATAATTTGCTTGTTATATAAAACTGTTTGATTACGTGTCCTAACCTCGGCGTTTTACTTACTGCTGTGCACATGACTTGGTGACTATACATCAAATCTCTAGTATATGTAACAATGTGAGAGATAAATGCCTCCGAAACCAGAGCAGAAAGCAGTTAGAAGATAGAACTTATATCTTACTGTGTTTTTAACATAAACTGTAGTTAGCATGTCATTTCAAATAGTTTTCATTGCATTTTTTTCATGAAATGCTAAGTTGTTAGATTCATTCATGAAATAGCATCTGTTATTCTGTGTTGGTCAGTGAATTAAGATTTATCTAAAAATACAGATTGAACATCAGACTATAATTAAGCATGTAGGAGCATGGCTGTCTAGGAAGGTAGTAACACTTCTTACCTGTCAGTCTTGTTCCGAAGCGCCACCTTTTTCACCTTTTTCTGTGTAACACTTTCATCACGTGTGACCGTCGCCGTTGTTATAACAACGTAAATGTCTGGCTACGTTGACCAATGTTATGTATTCTGAATATTGAGCAAATATACTCACATGTTCGTCGTTATCACGTGATCAATATGTCATAATTTATCTTCTATTAATAGCCTTTCAGGTACTTATGTCCTTATCTCTTCTACAGAGAACCGGAAATGATTCGTCCGTCTCCGGAAACGTAAGTATATAGATAATACAATCATTGTGTTGTTATCGTCAGAAACACGTATAGACTTATTTAGTAATACAAAAGGCCTTCCTTTTGTTCCCAGGAAAGAACTTTGTTGGAATACCTTTTGCGAGTTATGTGCTCGTGAATATTGTTTAAAAAAACAGGCTTAAGGTTGATATATAAGTCCTATAATTATACAATAGTTTGATATACGTTCATATTATATATATATATACTGTTAAGTGGTTACGATTACAGTCACTTTCGCTCTCTGCACCCCTGGAATGTACCGGAGTAATTTGGTTGGTTTCAGAAGATCAAAAACTGACCAATCACAGGCTGAAACGCTCCTTTTGAATATTACAAAGGAACGACAACCAACTTAAAAGCTGTTACAATATACCATTCTGCGATCTCGTGATTCGTTTGATGTACATCAAAGGATCAAACTAGTCTTTTCGTGTTGTCCACAAAGTGTCACACAAGGAACCTTTAATTTTGCCATGACATGAGAACTAGAGAGGTTGTAATTCATGGAGTATCGAGGATGTACTATTTAAAGGGACATTTCGTCTTTGCAACTATTTTTATTGATGAAAATAAAACTAAATGGAAGATGTATGTTTTCACTAAAACGACCGTTAAAATCCAAAGCTAACCCAAACTTCTTAAATTACAAACTTTGTAAAATTTTCACTTGATTCGTCCAGAACCACTAAGATAAACGTTGTTTTTAAACGCGAACATGCACAATCAAGTTGATGTAGTTAACGAACACTAAACAAATAGCTGGCGGTGATTGTTCACTGGTCCGCCTGAAGAGACTACCCAGGAGATCGCTCTGACAGTGCATTGAAAGGTAGAAATAAGACCGCACACGGAATTGTCTCGTCTCCAACAAAAGCTTACTCCAGGTAATCAATGGGCACTCGTCACTGTCCAGGCTTTAATCTACTCTTCTAACCACATCAAGGTATATATTGCTTATCATATAAACTAATTTTGTGATCATGTATCAGTTTCTGTTTACAGTGTACACGTGGTGTTTATTTCGTCATCGCCTGGCACACATTCTCTTGTGTGAAGACACTTGTAAATTGTATATCTTCAGTTGTTCTGACGAAGGATGCCCCTTACTTTACATCCATGTTACATGTATAACACTTCATTCTCTACTACTTCACCAAAAGTCTCGTCAGACCATTATACACAATGATAGAAAAATTATGTAGCCCATTGACTTTTATTTCTCACAGCTGCTGAAATTTGACCAGACCGAATTTTTCCACCTGTCACACCCTTCTACATACAGCATGGACAACACCGGATATGTATATGTACCGGAAGTGTGTTCACAGAGAATCATGGGTAAATACTCTACCTTGTCAGCGGAGTATTCTATGTTTGGCTTTAGCGACTTGATCGAAAAAGTTCGTATTCTTTGGTGTAACGATTTTAAATGCTACTAGATGGACTTAATTCAATCAAATTACACGGTAGAGACTTGTTTGCAATACATGTACAAAGTTTTAATTAGATAAAATGTTCTGAAATTAATGAACACCTTTTTAATTGATATGCAATGATATTTTGCGATAGAAACTGATATTAGCTTGTTGTGGGTTGAATAGAGAGAGAGAGAGAGAGAGAGAGAGAGAGAGAGAGAGAGAGAGAGAGAGAGAGAGAGAGAGAGAGAGAGAGAGAGAGAGAAGAGATAGAGAGAGAGAGAGAAGAGAGAGAAAGAAGAGGGAGAGAGATAAGAGAGAGGGGGGAGAGAACAGAGAGAGAGAGAGCAGAAACTGTTGGAGAATCCTTGTACCTCGCTCACTCAAGGAAAAACGGAGGAAAGTAGTTCAAAGCTGATTAAGATTAGAAATAGCTTTATAATTTATGAAGAACATGCAATCAAGGACATGAGACTCTTCTTCTTCGGTCGCAACCAACATGATCAAGCTGTGGTAGAGCGTTTTCCTGGTTTTAAAGATTTCCGTGTTTCGATAAAAATTTATGTGCAACATTTGGCGTTTTTTCGGCTGATAAGGTGTTTTAGATTTCATTTTCAAAATCAAGGTTCCTTTGTATGCCAAGTACTGAACACGGTTTCCAGTGATATTGATTGAAACTGGGAACATGTTATGGTTGTAAGGTTTTCTTGTGTTTTCATTGAAAACTCTTAGGATTTCCATATTTGAAAAAAAATCAAGAAAATATCAACACGTGAACACAACCATAATTCAAACACAAAATCAAGAAAACAATGGCAAAAACATGAACAGAAGAAAGAATTAAACGGAAACACCTGAAAAAGTAAAATGAGAATTAGACTATGTGTTCCGGAAGAGTAAGCGTCTTTTTCTTCATTGACGACACCCGCCATGTAAACCTTGATCAATCCACGTAAGTAATGTCATGTTCTCAAATAAGAACAAGGTATACAACAACAGCACCAACAGGCAAACAAATTTAACGTGGTCATCTTTAATATCCGAGTTAAATCTCCAGAAACTGATTTTGAACATATTCAAGATAGCAAGGATATCTTATCTAAAAATATGAGTGTTTTCTTTATGTTGTCACCTGGTTTCCAGGCACTAGACATAGTATATATTTTTGACATTACACAAACTGTATTACAATGAGATATTGTAGCGTGTTTGTTTATAATATCCCACAAGTCGTGTTAGTTTGGTGATATGATTACTGTTGTTTCAGATTGCAGGCTGCACGTGGCTCTCCACGGCTGTGGTATGGGCAGGTAAGTATCACATCAATAAAACACAAACTTGATGAACTTCTGAAAGCAGAATATTTTCTCTAAACCAATTTTCACATGAAATATGGCTGATGATCTTTCTAAGGAAAGCTATTGGAGAGATATACGTACGTCACGCCGGATATAATGAAGTGGCAGAAATCAACAATGTCATCATCCTGTACCCCCAGGTTATCTCCACCCTGACTAACCCTAAAGGGTGCTGGGACTGGTGGGGATACACGGGCGCCTATTTCGGTAACTATGATTCCCATTACACCCACATGTGTACGAAAGTTGTTTCTACATTATCTATGAGTGTTATGATTTATTCGACGGAAAAGTTTTAATCATTTGTAATTGTAAAAAGCAAAGATTGAACAACCCTTTAGCCAACCGTCGTTTCTGTTTGAGGACTATTCCACCTTGTCGTGTGGATTTTCTGTTATAGACTGTTTATTTGTATGACAGACATGTGAAGATTATTAATTCATCTGTCTTTCAGCTAGAATCGTTTCTTAACTTACATATATACAATAATATCCGAACACAAAGTCTAAATGAACTATATTAATATATGTTAAATTTACGGTACGTGACGATTTCTTTACAGCAACAAAACATGGTGTCCAGATCACAGCCCTCAGGAGAATGATAGAGAGAGTCAGCGGCTATTAAGGTTAATGTAATACTGATTCTCTAATAAATTCATCACTAATAAACCAAAGACGTGAAAGTATTCTCAATTTTTTATTTATTTTGTTTAAGAATTTAATTCATCACATCACCTCCCCCCAACAAAAACAACAAATGGTGTTAACAAAAAACCGATAAAGTTATACCAAAGATCTCGTTTTATCCGAAATATTTCAGTCAGGTTACATCGTAGTATATACTAGATATTTTCCTAGAAGACACCCCAAGTAAGTACCGAGATGTTTTCCTAGGAGACACTCCCATGTAAGTACCGAGATGTTTTCCTAGGAGACACCCCATGTAAGTACCGAGATGTTTTCCTAGGAGACACCCCATGTAAGTACCGAGATGTTTTCCTAGGAGACACTCCCATGTAAGTACCGAGATGTTTTCCTAGGAGACACCCCATGTAAGTACCGAGATGTTTTCCTAGAAGACATCCCCATGTAAGTACCGAGATGTTTTCCTAGGAGACACCCCATGTAAGTACCGAGATGTTTTCCTAGGAGACACCCCATGTAAGTACAAAGATGTTTTCCTAGGAGACACCCCATGTAAGTACCGAGATGTTTTCCTAGGAGACACCCCATGTAAGTACCGAGATGTTTTCTTAGGAGACACCCCCATGTAAGTACCGAGATGTTTTGCCAGGAGATAAATTAAGATTTTTTCGTTCATATTCCATTCAGAAAATAATGTCTTAACGATATGATTTTTATCAATATAGTCAATGAGCAACCTTTTTAAAATTTGGAACGTTTTCAGTATTACAATTTAAAAAAGTGCCACTGAAACAGAGGCTGTAATACCCGATCAAACTAGGACTTGTTTTTGATGTGTTTTTATAAAAAAAAAATAAAGGTTTGCATGATGATGATATTACATCATTACAAATATCGATCTTCTACTTGTAGTGGACCATTTCACATATTGATATCACAATGAACTTTACCCTTTTATAAAACCACATTGGAGATAATTTATTCCCTAATCCAACGTAGATTGATTGCAGCTTGATTTATTTTGGAATCACGATTGACTGAACAGAGTAACACATTGTGTGTGCTGTAAGTGTCAGGGTGGATGAAGGTCACCTAACATTCCGTTCTGTCTCTATAAACAGGTTTTGTAAAGTTGAACTTGATTGGACAGATCAAATGTAAATATCAACATTACACAAGATGATGAGTACTCTCGTTATCTTATCGTCTTCACTCGAGACATAGGTACCCGTAGTGTGTTTCATCACAGTGGTTAACATGTAGGTGTATACAAATGATACTTTAAACTCAAATATTTAAAGTAATATTTCAGTGTGAGGCACAATAAGGATAAAATTTCAAATGAAAAATGAGTCCCTTAACTAACCCCTGATTGTATAAGTCGGGTTCGTACTTGTAGAAACTCCCCCTAGATATACATCTCACTGGTAGGATGGCGGTGTTGTGATGTACTGAGAGGAAAGAAGTTTAAAACCTAAGAAAAGAATATAACTGAAAACCAGACTTGATAGTATGTTGTCTAACTCCTTGTTAAAGACTGTGGTGTTAGCAGTTCTGTTTTCTCTACAGCTACAATGGGGTAAGTGCATATATATATTATTTTGTTCTGCTTACGAAATTTCATTGGGATGCTAGCACGCGGTCTGCTGAGGGAATACTATGTTTACCACTTTTTTATACTAATCGGTAACACATTCGGTTTGTTACGTAAAAAAAACATGTTTATGAAATATTTTAGCCACCTAGATATAAAAACAAACAAGATAATAAATACCAACATGTCATTATGATAATAATATTAGCTCAATTCCAATTAAACTAGGGGAAAATATGAATGAAAGAAAGATTTACGCGGATACTCTCGAAAAGTACAAAAAGAACAGGACCAGGTGTTCCGGAAAAGTCAGCGTCTTTACTTCATCTATGTAGATGTTACAAGTAAAGGACATAAGAACGCCTACACTTCACCATTTAACAGAGCATCGCTAAAGATCCAGTGATGTGATCTTTCTCTTTGTTAAAGTATTTTGCTTAAATATGTAGACTTTTAAATCATTATAGTATGAAGAACATAGAAATTTTAATCACTAGTAAACGGACATTTATATGTACAGATATCAACGTTAGTTATATCTATTTCTGGAGGTCATATCAGCGTCATTTCCATTTTAGAACGTTTCGTCGTCGTCATTTTATGACAAAAGGAACTTGGCATTAGCCATAACATGTGAAAGCCCCCTCCTTCCTATTATAAACAAATTCACAAAATAGATACTACCAAACGTGATGGTAATAACATCACCTAATGATTATGACAAGAATCGGTGCGGAATTCACTTAGAAAGGAGTGTAGCACAGACAAACTGGCAATGTACACTTATACTCCTGTGCTTAATCCACCCATACCAAAACATGTCGAAACAAAGTGAACTGAGACATCTATTTTAAGAAAACATCCATTTTGATGATTTTAAATGTTATATTAGCCTTGTAACCGTAATTCATTTTCTGACTGTTCCGGTTTGTATCGAGTCTGCTGTTAGATATATTAGTCGGTGGTTCCGATATTCATTCTTACTGCTTCCGAGGAGCAAGGTGGAGGTAAAGATATGTCCATTCTGGACTAGATTCGGGGGTTACCACCGATACGGTCGTCAGTTATACTGATAGTATTTTGTGAATTATTACATATCTCTGATATTTCTGTACTAATCTAGTAACTGTCATCTTATATTTTTCTGAATCTAGTCAAGAATGGATTTATTCATATTTCCACTTTGCTCAACATACTTTAAGTCAAGGATTGATGACTGACGTAACATTCGAGGAATTATTTATTGAAAGATGACGTCAGTGTAACAATAGTATAACAGGTTTTTGTTGATGTTGTCACGTGTCTTATAGGTTAATATCAATCAATCAATTGTAAGGAAGTGTAATTTGGTATAGGTATAATTCTGTTGTAAAGCAGTAGTGTCTGATGACATATAAAACCTCTTCTTTAAACAGGAACTGGCTACTAAACTAATGTTACAGTCACTGATGAGAAAAAAGAAAGCGCTGTGCCTGTCCTGTATAACGATGTTATAGTCACAGATCAGAGATCGATAATCATATACCTGTCCTATATACTAGTGTTATAGTCACAGATCAGAGATCGATAATCATATACCTGTCCTATATTGCAGTGTTATAGTCACAGATCAGAGATCGATAATCATAGTTATTGTCACAAATCGTAGATTGAAATCTGTCCTATATATTACACCCAATCACATGGCCATATTCATCAGTCGGTTATCACAGTGCATCGCCACTGATAGCACCATGTGTGCCGGTCTCTTTTAACTCAGTTACATAACGTAAGTCTATTTATACATCAATCAGTTTCTGTAAGCGTGATCATCTTGTGTATGATGTAGTGCGTATCTACTGAAATATCATAACATAAACAGATGCTCACAGACAAATGTCCTGCTCTAATATCTGTGTTCAAACTGCGACCCATATAGTGTACTGATATTTGTGATTCTACATATATACCTAAAGAGACACTGCTTAGACCAGGCACGAATTTAGTGAACATGTTTTCTCTTCTGAAGAATTGAAAGCGACTCTTTCATGAATCACATGTTTTGATGTGATATTGTACAATAGCCACACACGTGAATGACATGTTGATTTAGAGTTAGATATTGTTATCTAGTTTCCATTCTTCTGATGTGTCTTTAAGTTGTTGTCTAGTTTACATACTGCTGACGTGTCTTTAAGTTGTTGCCTAGTTTACATACTGCTGACGTGTCTTTAAATGTTGTTTAGTTTACATACTGCTGACGTGTCTTAAAGTTGTTGTCTAGTTTACATACTGCTGACGTGTCTTAAAGTTGTTGTCTAGTTTACATACTGCTGACGTGTCTTTAAGTTGTTGTCTAATTACATACTGCTGACGTGTCTTAAAGTTGTTGTCTAGTTTACATACTGCTGACGTGTCTTAAAGTTGTTGTCTAGTTTACATACTTCTGATGTGTCTTTAAGTTGTTGTCTATTTTAACATATTGCTAGAACTGGAGACTGACGTTTCCCGTGATATTACTTATTAGAATATTGAATAATAAATTCTTAAAGAACCTGGATGTGTATTACTGATTAAGTATTTCATTGTAGATATTGTACATGTCTGATGCCGACCACGTATAAGAAGTGTATTGTGACCTTACATCAAGTTTTTTTCATTATTATTATGTGATAATATAGTTATATCGTGTAGTTACGAGATAATGTTGTTTAGGAAAGACACTCTTTGATCTTAAGTAGACAGACAACTGAATTTCAAAAACCAGAAGTTTTTAATAACACACATACTTAGCAGACACATTTCTTGCACGGAATATTAAATCTATTTTTCCAAAAGTGAAAGTCACAGCCCCCAGTGAGGATCGAACTCACGACCCCTGGTTTACAAGACCAGTGCTCTAACCACTGAGCTATGGAGGCGTCGGAAATGATTTTAATGTTATTTCCATCATTTTTTCCTATTTGATAAACGCAGATGTCACCAAATCTATTGTAACGATCAAATCGATATTTGTTTACAATTAAAATGTATGAATCACAAAACTAGAAAAAAAAAAAAAAAAAACCAAATGAAATGTTATCAAACTATTCTATGCAGATGTGCAGTAGGCCAGGGACGTATAATACAGATTATACGTCCCTGAGTAGGCGTACTATTAATGTATAAAACATAAATTTAATCAATATTGCAACAATTGCGAAACATGTTATTTCAACTTATACTATTCACTCTTGTTGGCCCGGATGTAAGTTCGCGAGGGGGTCTAATTGTTGGAGGAAACTGGAGTACCCAGGGAAAACCCACATGGTCGGTCAGGTGACCCCTACCTTTCCTTGTCCGTTCCAGGAATCGAATTCCGGACGACGAGTGAAAGGCGAGTGCTTTGCTACTGCGACACCCGACCA